AATAAATAAGCTATTGAATTGTTGCTCTTTAATTTAACTGCCTATTGCCAGTCATGACAGGCATCAGCATCCTGTGAGACTTAAGACCATGTTTCTTTTACTTATAGCTATATGAGGTCCACTCGTATGCACACATACAGTTAATATTGACTAAAACCAATGCCAAAAGCCAGGATGAAATTGATTGCAGATGCTAAAAATTCATCTCACGTCTGCTGCTTTGAAACTGAGACACACAGCAGAAAAGTAGTGCAATCCCCAAAAAACACACACACACACACACACACACATACATACATTTGTTGAGAGTTGTGAAAATTACTCCATCATTATACTCCATTATTTATTGGCAGATATATTAATCAAAGCAAAACACATAAAAAAAACTAAAAAAAACAGACTCATGTAAACTCCAGAATACCAATAGGGGCCGTTATAATTAGAGGATTGGTCAAACAATTGAATATTATCTTTATTAGCGACCCTCAATCCGACGGTGGCTAATGAATGGCTGAGGAGAGAATTGCTGGGTTTATTAATGGTCATGTTTCTATGTTGATTGGTTCTGTTTGCAGAGTTGTGGCACGAGCACAGCATCGGCTGATTTGTTAAGTTGTGCATGAGTCGATCTTCATCCCTGATTTGTTTCATTTTATCGGTTCAGTTTGTTTGCAGCCAAGCAGATTTTTCATTTCACTATCCACAAGGTGCTGGAGCCAAAAGAGACGCCCACCAGCAGAGTCTTAGTAGGTTAATCACCAGAATAATTGAGTACATAATTTATATTATTATTGTTTTTTTTCACATTGAAGGCTTAAAAGTATAACAGTATCACTACACTCTGGAGCTTTTGATAGTCCGGTCGCATTTCTGAATGCAACACCTCCCACATGCAGCATCATGTTACCCATTTTTAATACTAGGATATTGCATTTGGCTATTTCCAGCTCAAATGACTGAAATAACGGCTAATCCCAGTTATCTAACCCACTCCTCGTGGAAATCTGCTCCCTGCTTGCCGTCTAGTTTGTGGCAGAAATCTGACCTGTGTTTCATCAGGTCTGCGGTGGTGTGGATGTTGAAGTTTGCCAATTCTTTCAGAGTAACAGTTGTATTCCATGAATGACTGTGTTGTGTGTGCCACTCCTGACAGAAATGGAGCGCTCTTTTACGTCTGGATTTGCACGGCTCTGAATGAAACCACACCGTGATGAAAACCGACTTCAGCAACAGAGATATTACATTCTGAGAGCTTCTGCCCAAGCTCTGCTCCACCATCTGTCCTCCTGAAGCTCATGGGATCAAAGACTTGCTCTCAATTTTGATTCCTAATTTTGAAAATCGATTTCAATGATATGTATGTTTTTGTTTCTTGATGGCCATCTGTCTGGCTCCAACCATGCCAGCGTCGCTCACGGCGCTGAGCTGCTTTGAATCCTTCACACTGAGACTTGGCTCTGATCCACCCTGATTTCTGAGGTAATGAGGTCTATGTTTCACTGTAATGTGAATCTGTGGGGGTTCCAACTAATGAGTCAGACCATCTCTGCATTACATTCTGTCCATGCAGAGTTTGGGTGAAACGTATGGCTGAAGACGGCGGCAGGATGCAGGCGTCTGATGGCCGTGCTGCTCACTGACACTCAGCACGGTGAGGGCAAACACATGGTGTTGCCACTTTGGAAATGCATGAAGTCATCAGTTGCCACGAGTTGCTCTGTTGTGCCAAAAGGCTCTTTGTTGCTGTGGATCTAATTAAGTTTATCATTTGAACCTTTGGCACTGGGAGAGAGCCGGGTTCATTCCCTGTGGAGGTGTGGGACACAAATAAACATTAAGAATATTACTGTCTGATCCATCCCGTTTCTCTGGACAGAAGTCTCACCAGTGGTGAGACTTACCTACTCAGCCGTGTCACAATTTTACTGCAGTGCAGGTTTAGCCAGACATCAGATTTCTGCTCTCCACAGGAAAACAAATGTTTTCAATTCATTGAAACCAAAACCACATATTTTCTTAGAATTGACCAGCTTATACAGCTACCTCTAAGGAGTTGCTCTATTGAACTGAAACCAGTGCCAGGGCTAGAATACACAGCAACCATCAGAACAAACCACTCTACCTAATGTTTTCTAACAACTCAGCTGTTCTGTCCTATCTGCTGCACTGAAGTCTTGGGTCATTATTCATCATATTGTAGCTTCTAAATTACTTTAGAATTGCTCTAACCCCTTTGATTCAGTCTTAAATCAATCTGTATTTGCACTTTGTTGCTCAGACCACATCTGGTGATCTTTCTGACACAGTCTTGTTGCCAGGCATGAGTTGACCTTGTAAGAATGGTTAAAAAAAAGATTCTTATTTCAGTGCGAAACTACTCAGGTTTGTCTCTTTAGACAAAAGAGATGTCACCCCCACTCCTATAAGGTCCAGTTTCCCTATGCCCTATCTCTTGTTATTCTCTATTCATTCTCTTTCACTTTGTTTTAAGCCGTTCCCCTCTCCTTTGTGTCAAATATCCATCTATAGGAGTCATTTAGACTTCATTGCTTTGAAGCTTTCCCCTTTCTCTCAGTCCTTTCTTCAGGAAAGGTTCGCCAGATTTCAGGCAGAGGTTTGGGCTCTCCTCCTCCCATAGATCTCTCTGACATCAGTCACAATCACAGCGACTCCTGCCGCTCACTGACGTCCCTCTCAGTGTTGCCATGGAAACCCCTGCTATAACGATGAGGCGGGAGGATTGGCGTGAAGGGGATCTGTATTTCCCCATTGGCCATATCTGATTAAAAACTCTGCCATAGCTAACAAAAGGAGGGAGAAAGCAGGGAAACGGGGAGGGAGGGCTTTTTAATTTCCACACGCCGGTGGCTCCTGAAGGACTTTTTTCATCCCGCAGAAAGATACAGGGTCGCCACTCGTGGCTCTAATGGCTGCTGAGGGGTAAATTGTACCTGCATTCTCACTAAGGCGAGAGTGATGATAGATCATGTGGGTTAATCTAATAGGTCTCCGCTCGTATGATTCAAGTCCATTACGTTTGCGTGTGTGACAGGAATTGTCTGCATGAATGAATGGCTGAAGGAGATAAAGTGAGCTAATGCACCCACAAACACACAAGCACACACACTCATTTAAACTGTTCTAAAGATGAATCTTATTTTCACTTGCCTGAAAGTGTTTTACAACTGACTTTTTTGAAGCCATTAATAAAAATAAAAAAAACTGTCAGCAGCATAAAGCGGCCACTCAAATTCAAAGACCAAATTATCAATTTAATAAAAGTTATACTCCAGGAGGAAGTCATGAGTAACCAGGAGTCTGCTTTTGTTTTTGTTGGCTCCTTCTCATTCCCCTCAGGTCTGGCCTGAGTTGCCCAACACGGGGATGGTCAGTTAATTAAACGAGCAGAGAATGGCCTTCATGAAAAGTTAATTAGGGTGTTAATGAAAGCCAAGTGGGCTGGCCCGCAGCTGCACTGATAAAGTGCTGAGGTTGTAAGCCTATGTGGAGGGATGCGTGTACCTGAGCACACGCTCCAGCCAGCGTGAGCCGATAAGAGGAAGCTGGGTGTTCACGCGCACTGTTCCAGGTTCATTTATCAATCACAGCGAGCTCGAGCCCCGATAGTTAAGGCTGAGGTCATGTTTGTGAGGGGAATCAAACTGTCTACTGTTTTTGGCCTGGATTTCAAACGGGGAACAAGGGATTACATTCCCTCTGATCTGACTCAGTGTTCACTGAGTGCAAGAGTAGTTTCAGATTCATGAGCAAAGACCGAGCCGGCTCTCTATTTCTGGAAACGTTCAAAAGCTTCAAACAGTGGTAAGACTGCTGGGGGTCGTTTCTGTTTCTTTTAGCTCTTTTCACATTTCAGCTCATTTAGGATGGTTAGGACACCCAGCCATTCCTCAAAATGATATTGACTTTAATGAAGCTCACAGTGGCTCTGTAGAATATTTTCACTGAAAATTACCATCCATCACATCAAATGAGAAAGATCAAATGAGAGGACACTGCAAAGTCAACAGATGCTAAATTTCAGAACCGAGACAGAAAATGCATGTGTTTCATACACATGTGATGCATCCACAGATTTGTTTCCACCAATATCCTACTTTTCAAAAACATTTATCCTTTCACGGAGATAGTTGCAGATCTAGCTGTGTCATTGCTACCTACTCATTCATTTTAATCAGGAATAGAGGAGAGAACCAGACTTTTGACACCAGATCTGGTATGAAATTTATAGAAATAACCTCCAGAGTCAGAGCTATGAGGGCAACCAAGTTAAGCAGCACACAGGTGTCTCATGCAGTCAGTTAAAGGTCAGAAATCGTGTTAACTGCTGCAGGCTGTGAAATATTGAAAAACATTGTTGTGGCAGTTAAAACT